CCGCCTCTGCGTCGCCTAGGCCTGTGCAGGTGGACGGGGCGCAGCCAGGGGGAGGGCAGTGGATTGCTGTAGGTGCAGCAGAGGAGTGGATGGGATCCTGTGGGTTGGCATCAACCAGGCCACCCATCTTGAACGCTGTGCTTTCCCCGCGGCCTTCCCAGCAGTAGCGCGTGCGCGTGCGTTCAAAGGTGGTGTGTGTGTGTGTGTGCGTGCGTGCGTGCGTGCGTGTGCGTGCGTGTGCACGCGCGCATGCACAAGCACACACAATGAATTCACACATGCGCATGCATGTGCACAACACCCCCCCGAAAAAACAACACACACACAGAACACGAATGGGGAGGACGAGGACAGGGAGCCTGCGGAGCAGAACATGCTGGCGCCGCGCCGCAAGAAGGTGCCCCGGGGCGGAGGCGCCGGGGCCAACCAGCTGCGTGCGGGACCTGTCGAGGCAACTGCAGGGCGATGCAAGGTGAGAGGCCGCCAGCATAAGGGAGGGCCAGACCGTTGCTGGGGATTGCCGCCGTCGACCTGGCGATCGCTGTTGTCATTGCTGCCTGGCTTGGCTGACTACGTTGCACCTTGGCAATCCACATCTGCGTTGCTCAGCCGCAGGAGGGCCTGGCCGCACCACAGGACTTGTGCGCTGACGTGTGCGCCAGCAAGGAGCAGCCCCGCGCAGCCGCCAGCCCGGCTGCGGCCTCGAAGCCCCCGCCTCTGACGCAACTCATTGCGGCAGCACACCCCTACGGCGCAGGGCGGGGCGTCCCGGTCGCGCGGCTGCCGCTGCTGCAGGCGATTGAAAGCAGCCACGGCAGCGGGAAAAGCGGCCGCGGCGGCGCGGGTGGTGGTAGCGGCAGCGGCCAGCCCCGCGGCAGCGGCCAGCCCCTCGCTAGCAGCGCCCTGCCCAGCCGTGTGCAGGGCCGCGCTGCGCCCAGCACGGCAGCGGTGGGGAGTGGCGCCTGGTACGCCGGCGCCGGCGGCGTTGGCGGCGTCGGCCGCGTGGGCGGGGCGGGCG